GTGTCCGCCCTTTTAAGAAAGTACCGCCCTTGTGTCGTACGCCCTCGTGTTCGGTTCCCCTTTAAACTTAGTGGTTGTACGGTACGTACTAATAAAAAACCTCGTACCGTACGTACTTTAAGCCGGGTACGGTACGTACTTCTCATCTTAGGGTAGGTCAAGTATGTTATTGAGCGAAGAATGGTGCTTATTTTAACAATCTACCTGCATAATATGCATGAGACATGAGCTAACTCACTTTGCAACGTATAACAGGGAGGAACAGGTTGCGTGAAGAAGTTAGCGATAGAGAGATAACAGTCTGAGAGATTAAGAGGGTAGGGTTGTTCGCCATTTTTACATAATTTAGTGCTACAAATGTGAGTGTTTCAAAGTAATTTAATGTTATATAACTCTCTTGTTCGTGATGTCATCTATACTACTTGGTTCTTAAAACTGTTGTTTCATTTTGTATAGTGTAACTTGACATTGCAAATTGAGAGCAAGATAGAATATACTTGGAGAGCTGGTTTTGGCAGTATCCAAGTAGCCTGACACGTGTTCGTGAACAGCTGTGTTATGGTTATGGTTAAGGTTAACCCTAACCCTTTACCCTACCCCTAACCCTAACCCTAACCCTGTTCGAAAACACCTGTTCGCGAACACGTGTCGGGCTACTTGGATACTACCCTGGTTTTATAATCAGATTATTCGTCAGTGTTTCAGAAGTGGTACTGGTAGGTTTGTAAAATTTAAAATGCTTTATTTCACACGTTTTAGAAAACAATATCAATAATTCATCACAAATACACACAAAAAATTAAAATAAAAAGCATAGCAAGTGTTTCGCGACATGGAGATGACACCTAAACAAAAATACAAAAATGATTATAATGTGCGTTTAATTAAAAACATTGAAGTACTCCAACAAATGTTATGTAATATGTATCTCAATCAAATACAATCTCTGTATGATCAGTATCCTAATATACATTACATATGTATACATTGTACATTATACATACAATGTTTTCTGTCTCAATTACCGCTTCTGTTCCTATCTGATTATCTGATACGGTCGATAGAGAGTGGTTTTATTGAGTTTATTTGAAGAACCAAAAACTGAAAACGTTAATTATCATTGCTAATTTAGGGGTTCATCACGGTTTAATAATCAAAAGTAAGATTTTGAAACTACAAAGTTGCCTCAGTCCATTATGAGTCTTGATCGTAGAACAACATTCAGTTCCCGTCTTTCTCACTAACCTGGAATGCTAGCTGGAAAGCTTGTTTTTACTGTCATTAACTAATTCCTTGAATCTACTTTCAACAGCAGCAGCATGTTTCTTTTTTATTCAGTCTTTACTGTTGATCAAAGTTTGGAATGTTATCAAGGCTTCGAGAATCCTAGATGCTGATTGTTGGCGCTAAATGTGCGATCCCTGAGGTGCGACAGAGGTCATTTCGTGAGCAGCAACAGAGGTAGCTTCATGAGTAGTGCTTTTCTGGGTCCTGTTCTGGGTTGTTGACTGCATCTCACTAGAACCACCGAATGTAGCCCGGACAGACCTGAGGGTGTTGGTTCGTGCTACAATTACACAGGGGTTAAAGGCGCTGGTCAGGACGGGGATGGTGTAGTGCTTCACCAGGGACAGGCTGATCCCCAGGTTGGGGTGCAGAGCGAGGAAGTGGGCCACGATGGAGATCACGTAAGGGATGTTCATCAGCAGGATGGTGTTGGAGCTCCGCAGCTTCAACCTCAGAGATTCTTTGTCAGTCTTCTTCATCTTTATCCAGAGATAGGCAACAGTGATGAGGCTGCAGACGAGTCCGATGAAGCAGTGGATCATGTTCATGGTGAAGCAGGCATACTTATTCACCACCTTCAGTTTGGCATGGTACGGTTTCTCTCCATTTACTCCGGCGATAACCAGAGCCCCAGCATTTCCTAGCGCCATGTAGACAGCGTAGAATGTGAGATATCCCATGACCCACCTGACTTTGATACTGATGAAGGGACGGATGATCTTTATCATTCGAGCGACGGCCATCAAGGTGACCGTCACCTGAGAGATGCAGCCGAAGGTGCAGCAGAAGAACTCAGGAATTTGGTTGAGAAACGACTTTTGGTCGAACTTAGTGGGGCTAAGGTACACATAGCTGATGAAGGTGGCAGGGAAGAGGTTCGTTAGAAAGTCCGAGACTGCTATCACCTTGAACAGAAAGTTCATGATTGACTTTGACTTTTTAGTGTAGACATAGAAGATGAGGGGGTTGAGGAGGGTGGAGATGATGACACACACGATAGTGAAGACCCCCATGGTGTAGTTTATAGCCTTTTCGTGGGTTGACCCCGTTTTGAAGTCGAAGGTCATGATAACGATGTTTCACTCGATAAGCTAGATATTAGTTTGGTTACAATATGTATATATTAACCTGCTAAAAGATAAAATATTCCAGGAATATTTGAGTCACCAAATAACTAATCAGCCAGGCTGATATTCGTATTTTTTAGCATAGCAGTATAATCGGACGAAACTTTACGCAAAATAAAACAAGTAGGACCGGGGAATGTTGATTTAAAGCGGCTGAAGTTTATTAATATACTTACTCTGCGTTTCATATTTCATAAACCAGGTGGTAAAGTTTTAGTGAACAAACCGAGATGATGACGTCAACAAACCGGGATCGATGACGTCAACAAACCGAGATGATGACGTCAACAAATTCGGAAAGTTGATCCGTAGATAAGCGTCATTAAAAAAGCGTCGAATAAACAATATTAGGTTTGGCAGCACAAGAATGAGAGCAAATTTAAATTTCTGTGAAAGAGCTGTCTCAATTTAACAAGAGCACATTGCAAGGTTGACCAAGATGTTTCGCTAAATAGGGCTAAATAATAAGCGCTATGACCATCAAACGAGCGAAATATTTTGACATTTAGGTCAGCAACCTTAAATGAGCTTTGTTTATTGACAGGAAAGGGGGGAAATGGTCAAATTGGATATTATAGGTACAAATCTTCAGGATTTAAAATCACATTTAAAAAAATAGCGAAGCCTATATAATTGATTGAAGACCGTCCTGAACGTTCTATTAACATAAGAGAGTTAAGCTATAATGTCAGGAAATATACAGAGTACTCAGTACTGGTTACCAAGTAACCCTTCTTACAGACACGTATCAGTTCATCGTGAGACTACTACTTCTACTGCTCACAAACAGTAGAAGACTAATTCACTTAACCATCACAAAACAAGACTTAAATACACCGGAACGGCAGGATGGAAACTCAAAAGCCCGAATTTCGGATTTCATAATTTGGTTTACGAGGCTGGTAGTGGTTGGGTGCAGTAGGGCGAAAGGGTTATGTTACCTAAATAATTAGGATGAGTAAGTGAACTGGAGCGGTCAATCGTATCGGTGGTATTGGTGGAGAATGTTCTTTATCAGGTCACCACAACATGTCCAAGAAGGGTATTTGTATTTGTTGAGTAACTGGTAATACAGCTGGTAATATAATATACAACTGGAAATGCAGCATGGGTATCGGATCTGCTCATTCACCGTTATTGAACACAAAAATATTGACTAAGTCCTCAAAATTTTGACAAATTACTCAAAATATTTGAGGCGTATCAAGTTAATCAAGTTAGTTAATCGAAATTCTGATAGTTTTAGATTTTATAGCCTGAAGCACAAACAAAAACAAACGCTTCGCCAAAATCTTACCGCATAACTACACGGTATTGGCTCTTCATCTACCGACTACAACTTGGTGAAACTTAACTACCCTATCTGAACTCCACGCACATTGCACAATGTACGTACATGACAGGATTTACAGAAGTGGCGTCTGGCACTGCCCTTGTCCCAGGATTCAGGAACTACTTGGAGCATGGTAGTTGGTTGAACAGGGAACTTGTTATCGATACCGAACATATAGTCTCAGATTTTCAAGTCTGATTATGAGTAGTACACTAGTAGTTTTTCATGTTGTTTTCATTAGCAAACGCCCTACCAGCCGTAATAAATCTAGCATCAAACATACTGGAAACAAAGCGAAACTACGAATTATCATTGACGCGTATAATGACACCTCCCTTCACTATTTCCACACTTCACGATTAACCAGATGTTTAACTATTACGCTGTATTAGGTAGAGTGAGTGAACCATAACTATTGGTAACTAATGGTAACTAATGGTAACTATTGGTAACTATTGGTAACTATTGGTAACTATTGGTAACTATTGATAACTATTGGTAACTATTAGTAACTATTGGTAACTATTGGTAACTATTGGTAACTATTGGTAACTATTGGTAACTATTGGTAACTATTGTGCCTCCCCTAATAATGGGCCTCCTCTGCAGTCCAGGGTTTGTCAAGGTTACCTGTGCAACTTTATTAGACGCCGCGTTATTATGCATGCATGAACCGTTTTATCTACACAGTGTTGGATTTTATGATTTATTGTTAATTATAATTTATAACTATCTTCATTTTCAATACAGGGAATCCAGTCAGGGCCGATAAGAAGAGCAACTACATACCAACAACTACATACCAGCACAATGATTTGGATAATCGGTCTTATCATTATCTTCATTCTCCACCCACATAGGCCTCTTAATAAGGGCCCTTAATTAATATTAGTTAGCGTATCTTTTAATAGCACAAATAATTGGAACCCCACCTGTAGCACCCAGTTTATACAGCAGTTTGTAAAATTATACGACCCTACAAACTGCAAGGTGCCTCCAATTTCCAATTACTAATTATATCGAGCTATAATTACGAAGAAACATGGAATAAAAATAGAAAACATGGCATAAAATTAACTGATCCTTCGGCTAGTGGCTACTGTAATATTGGCAGGTTGCCATAACAAGATCAATTCGTTACAACTTTATTCTCAGACTCAGACTAAGTGGTATTTGCACTCAATTATTTATCTGACATTGCTTGATAATGATTATATCAATAACTTCTACTTAACAATTTAAACAAATCTAACCTGTACAATAAAGCAGTTAGGTCCGCTCTGGTGTAGCAGTTTCATCTTACTCTTGAGAGCGCGCTCAATGCGGCGTGCGCGCACTGCGTCTATAGTAGTGGGGAGAGCTACTTTGTCACGTGATAACTCCTCACAAGAGTTCTGAAAAAGTTCTCAATAATAATACATAAATACAAGTTTCTGCAATATTCTTAATAATACACAAACACAAGTTTCTGCAATATTCTTATATAATACACAAATACAAGTTTCTGCAATATTCTTATATAATACACAAATACAAGTTTCTGCAATATTCTTAATAATACACAAATACAAGTTTCTGCAACATTCTCAATAATACACAAATACAAGTTTCTGCAATATTCTTATATTCTACACAAATACAAGTTTCTGCAACATTCTTATATAATACACAAATACAACAACATTCTTATATTCTACACAAATACAAGTTTCTGCAACATTCTTATATAATACACAAATACAAGTTTCTGCAACATTATTATATAATACACAAATACAAGTTTCTGCAACATTCTTATATAATACACAAATACAAGTTTCTGCGACATTCTTATATTCTACACAAATACAAGTTTCTGCAACATTCTTATATAATACACAAATACAAGTTTCTGCAACATTCTTATATTCTACACAAATACAAGTTTCTGCAACATTCTTATATAATACACAAATACAAGTTTCTGCAACATTCTTATATAATACACAAATACAAGTTTCTGCAATATTCTTATATTCTACACAAATACAAGTTTCTGCAATATACTTATATAATACACAAATACAAGTTTCTGCAATATACTTATATTCTACAAAATTCTACCGTTACACGAGGAAAATTTAAAACCAAGAAAAATGTTAAAATGTGTTTCTACTGAATATTTGTGTGTATAAAAAAAGGAAGTTCTACGAATCTCGAGACTCGCAAACAATTCTGTTAAGGTAGATTACGAAAAAATTAATCACAATTTTCAGTTTTCAAATTAAACAGTCGACTATTAACTATAATTAACGTTATTTTATTAATATAAATAAGAGTAGAGCACCTTTTTGCTATTCTCCGAGAGTTTCTGTATCTTATGATACATGCTGTCAATCTGACTCTCAGAGAAGCATTTGTACAGTTTCCTGTAGTCCATCACTAGGTCGTCCAGCATTCTTCACATAGTTTACTAGGCATTACGAGTTATTTATTACACGTCTTGTGGACACTAAGTCACGTGTTTTTGATGTTACCACCGTATATGGTTGTATGTGTATAGCCGCATTGTTAATGGATTTTAAAGGATCGGTAAAAGAATCCAACAATAATTGCGGCACCATAACCTATTACCTAGATATTTGTAGATATATATGTATAATTATAACGAGCTCAAACAATAGTGTAGCTAGAATCTTAAACAAAACAATAAAAAGTGGATGTCGTAAAAGTTGCGAGAGAAACGAGAAACGAGCGACAAGAACTAGCACTACCAATCTACGACAGAGAGCTGACGAAAAAGAGAAAACGTGTCAAGATTGAACCAGCACGGCCCGGGGAGTGTAGAGGTATAATGTGGAGTGTACTATACAATCTGACTGATTACATCATACCACTCTTAAGTGATTACTTAATTACCAATTACCTAATTACACGAGCAGGTTTACTGCTTGTAACAAGCTTGTAATGACTAGTGACGTACCCTACACACTGATCTTCTAACGCTCGCCACTAATTAATACTCGTCAAAGAATGCGGGAAACGGCGCACGGAAAGAGTCGCCGCCACGAACCAAATACCGGACTAACACTACACATACATTCCTCACTTGTACAAGTTGGCAAAGTAAAACTAGAGGGAACCCCAGTTTGCTGCTGAAACACTATACACGAGGTAATTAAATAAAAAGCATCGCAAACATTATGTTGAGCCGTTCTGAGGCTTCCCACATAGCTGTCAATGGGTTGGAAAGTTGGCAGGGCGCCCACTGCCGCCTACATTGTGGACTGGTGTCATTTGGAGATGGCGGGAATGTGCGGTAATGTGCGGGAATAACATAACGGTAACCACTTGTCAACTCTCCACAGAACGTATTGCAGTGTAAACGAAGGTAAAAACATAAAGTGGTCAATGTATGAGAGAGAGAGCTTTAAATCTGGAGTATCTAGTGCTACAACTGAAGAGTAGGACACGTTCGACACTGATAAAGTCATAACTATAACAGCAGAACTCAGGTCAGAGCAGAAGTCAGGTCAGAGCGCGAGCAGAATACACGGCTTCCCTGGTGGATTTTTCTAGAAAACGTACGTTCGATTCTAACGCTCTAATGGTATGTAATGGTCTGTGTGCTTGCCCGGTCCTTGGCCGTTAGAGTGACCTCTTGATAGTTATTATTAATATCTAGTGTCCAGATAGAGTGACCTCTTGATAGTTATTATTAATATCTAGTGTCCAGATAGAGTGACCTCTTGATAGTTATTATTAATATCTAGTGTCCAGATAGAGTGACCTCTTGATAGTTATTATTAATATCTAGTGTCCAGATAGAGTGACCTCTTGATAGTTATTATTAATATCTAGTGTCCAGATAGAGTGACCTCTTGATAGTTATTATTAATATCTAGTGTCCAGATAGAGTGACCTCTTGATAGTTATTATTAATATCTAGTGTCCAGATAGAGTGACCTCTTGATAGTTATTATTAATATCTAGTGTCCAGATAGAGTGACCTCTTGATAGTTATTATTAATATCTAGTGTCCAGATAGAGTGACCTCTTGATAGTTATTATTAATATCTAGTGTCCAGATAGAGTGACCTCTTGATAGTTATTATTAATATCTAGTGTCCAGATAGAGTGACCTCTTGATAGTTATTATTAATATCTAGTGTCCAGATAGAGTGACCTCTTGATAGTTATTATTAATATCTAGTGTCCAGATAGAGTGACCTCTTGATAGTTATTATTAATATCTAGTGTCCAGATAGAGTGACCTCTTGATAGTTATTATTAATATCTAGTGTCCAGATAGAGTGACCTCTTGATAGTTATTATTAATATCTAGTGTCCAGATAGAGTGACCTCTTGATAGTTATTATTAATATCTAGTGTCCAGATAGAGTGACCTCTTGATAGTTATTATTAATATCTAGTGTCCAGATAGAGTGACCTCTTGATAGTTATTATTAATATCTAGTGTCCAGATAGAGTGACCTCTTGATAGTTATTATTAATATCTAGTGTCCAGATAGAGTGACCTCTTGATAGTTATTATTAATATCTAGTGTCCAGATAGAGTGACCTCTTGATAGTTATTATTAATATCTAGTGTCCAGATAGAGTGACCTCTTGATAGTTATTATTAATATCTAGTGTCCAGATAGAGTGACCTCTTGATAGTTATTATTAATATCTAGTGTCCAGATAGAGTGACCTCTTGATAGTTATTATTAATATCTAGTGTCCAGATAGAGTGACCTCTTGATAGTTATTATTAATATCTAGTGTCCAGATAGAGTGACCTCTTGATAGTTATTATTAATATCTAGTGTCCAGATAGAGTGACCTCTTGATAGTTATTATTAATATCTAGTGTCCAGATAGAGTGACCTCTTGATAGTTATTATTAATATCTAGTGTCCAGATAGAGTGACCTCTTGATAGTTATTATTAATATCTAGTGTCCAGATAGAGTGACCTCTTGATAGTTATTATTAATATCTAGTGTCCAGATAGAGTGACCTCTTGATAGTTATTATTAATATCTAGTGTCCAGATAGAGTGACCTCTTGATAGTTATTATTAATATCTAGTGTCCAGATAGAGTGACCTCTTGATAGTTATTATTAATATCTAGTGTCCAGATAGAGTGACCTCTTGATAGTTATTATTAATATCTAGTGTCCAGATAGAGTGACCTCTTGATAGTTATTATTAATATCTAGTGTCCAGATAGAGTGACCTCTTGATAGTTATTATTAATATCTAGTGTCCAGATAGAGTGACCTCTTGATAGTTATTATTAATATCTAGTGTCCAGATAGAGTGACCTCTTGATAGTTATTATTAATATCTAGTGTCCAGATAGAGTGACCTCTTGATAGTTATTATTAATATCTAGTGTCCAGATAGAGTGACCTCTTGATAGTTATTATTAATATCTAGTGTCCAGATAGAGTGACCTCTTGATAGTTATTATTAATATCTAGTGTCCAGATAGAGTGACCTCTTGATAGTTATTATTAATATCTAGTGTCCAGATAGAGTGACCTCTTGATAGTTATTATTAATATCTAGTGTCCAGATAGAGTGACCTCTTGATAGTTATTATTAATATCTAGTGTCCAGATAGAGTGACCTCTTGATAGTTATTATTAATATCTAGTGTCCAGATAGAGTGACCTCTTGATAGTTATTATTAATATCTAGTGTCCAGATAGAGTGACCTCTTGATAGTTATTATTAATATCTAGTGTCCAGATAGAGTGACCTCTTGATAGTTATTATTAATATCTAGTGTCCAGATAGAGTGACCTCTTGATAGTTATTATTAATATCTAGTGTCCAGATAGAGTGACCTCTTGATAGTTATTATTAATATCTAGTGTCCAGATAGAGTGACCTCTTGATAGTTATTATTAATATCTAGTGTCCAGATAGAGTGACCTCTTGATAGTTATTATTAATATCTAGTGTCCAGATAGAGTGACCTCTTGATAGTTATTATTAATATCTAGTGTCCAGATAGAGTGACCTCTTGATAGTTATTATTAATATCTAGTGTCCAGATAGAGTGACCTCTTGATAGTTATTATTAATATCTAGTGTCCAGATAGAGTGACCTCTTGATAGTTATTATTAATATCTAGTGTCCAGATAGAGTGACCTCTTGATAGTTATTATTAATATCTAGTGTCCAGATAGAGTGACCTCTTGATAGTTATTATTAATATCTAGTGTCCAGATAGAGTGACCTCTTGATAGTTATTATTAATATCTAGTGTCCAGATAGAGTGACCTCTTGATAGTTATTATTAATATCTAGTGTCCAGATAGAGTGACCTCTTGATAGTTATTATTAATATCTAGTGTCCAGATAGAGTGACCTCTTGATAGTTATTATTAATATCTAGTGTCCAGATAGAGTGACCTCTTGATAGTTATTATTAATATCTAGTGTCCAGATAGAGTGACCTCTTGATAGTTATTATTAATATCTAGTGTCCAGATAGAGTGACCTCTTGATAGTTATTATTAATATCTAGTGTCCAGATAGAGTGACCTCTTGATAGTTATTATTAATATCTAGTGTCCAGATAGAGTGACCTCTTGATAGTTATTATTAATATCTAGTGTCCAGATAGAGTGACCTCTTGATAGTTATTATTAATATCTAGTGTCCAGATAGAGTGACCTCTTGATAGTTATTATTAATATCTAGTGTCCAGATAGAGTGACCTCTTGATAGTTATTATTAATATCTAGTGTCCAGATAGAGTGACCTCTTGATAGTTATTATTAATATCTAGTGTCCAGATAGAGTGACCTCTTGATAGTTATTATTAATATCTAGTGTCCAGATAGAGTGACCTCTTGATAGTTATTATTAATATCTAGTGTCCAGATAGAGTGACCTCTTGATAGTTATTATTAATATCTAGTGTCCAGATAGAGTGACCTCTTGATAGTTATTATTAATATCTAGTGTCCAGATAGAGTGACCTCTTGATAGTTATTATTAATATCTAGTGTCCAGATAGAGTGACCTCTTGATAGTTATTATTAATATCTAGTGTCCAGATAGAGTGACCTCTTGATAGTTATTATTAATATCTAGTGTCCAGATAGAGTGACCTCTTGATAGTTATTATTAATATCTAGTGTCCAGATAGAGTGACCTCTTGATAGTTATTATTAATATCTAGTGTCCAGATAGAGTGACCTCTTGATAGTTATTATTAATATCTAGTGTCCAGATAGAGTGACCTCTTGATAGTTATTATTAATATCTAGTGTCCAGATAGAGTGACCTCTTGATAGTTATTATTAATATCTAGTGTCCAGATAGAGTGACCTCTTGATAGTTATTATTAATATCTAGTGTCCAGATAGAGTGACCTCTTGATAGTTATTATTAATATCTAGTGTCCAGATAGAGTGACCTCTTGATAGTTATTATTAATATCTAG